GCCCAATGATACAAATGACAGCACAGAAATCTGGTTTTTTTTGTTTATTTTCTTATACTACTTAACTGCAAATACCATTGTAAAGTATGCTGGTTGGTTACATTTCTTCTTTGACTGAAGTCCTTCAGCACGTTTTGCCGTCCAACACACACGGAAGGTTAGATTTGCAAACGTGTTGTGTTTGGGAAGAAGCGCACATACTCAGGTAAACGATGATGCAGACGCCATCAACACTTAGGTTACATACCTGATAGGAGAATGACGAGGTCGGCCTCACTTGTGTCACCAGCCCTGACCCCCGCTGGAAGTGGAGCAGAGGGTGCCGAGGGACCAGGGAACAAGGGTGCCAGCAGGTGTTGCCTGAAGAGCTTGCCGTTGGAGTCCTGAAGAGACTGGCGAACCACCGGTTCAGGAATGGTAGCGATGTTTCGGAATCCCACCTGGGTTAAAAGGGCGCTCCGCTTGCAGAACAGGATCTGGATAAATGATGTGTCAGATCTCTTAGCAGACTTGAAGCAGGAACCGTTTATGGTGAGCAGAGCTGGTATAATAGACAGCCAGGCGGGCACTTGGGCAGGGAAGCTGGGATCAGAGACCGGAGCAAGGTCACAGGAATAGCCAAGGTCATTAATGGGCGGGCAGCGAGGTACCAAATCATGAGCAAGCTGAAGTCGGCAACAGAGCCGGGTTCAGGAACGAGCAACAAGCAGGAGAGGAATCCGAAGTCAGGTCAGGAACAGAGCCGGGTTCAGGAACGAGCAACAAGGCAGGAGAGGAATCCGAAGTCAGGTCAGGAACAGAGTCGGATTCAGGAACGAGCAACAAGGCAGGAGAGGAATCCGAAGTCAGGTCAGGAACAGAGTCAGGAACGAGCAACAAGGCAGGAGAGGAATCCAAAGTCAGGTCAGGAACAAGCCGGGTTCAGGAACGAGCAACAAGGCAGGAGAGGAATCCGAAGTCAGGTCAGGAACAAGCTGGGTCAGCAACAAGGGGATCATACAGGAATACAGCAGGACACAGAGAAACAGCTGAAGACCAATCAGCACTAAGCACAGGCAGAACCATCCTTTAAATAGTCCTCCTGGCACCAATATTCACTGTGCTTGTGTGCGATCGCGTATTTCTGTGCCACATATCTGGTCACTATTCTGCAGAGATTGCTGTGCGCATGTGCATGTCTGGTCACTATTCTGCGGAGATCGCTGTGCGCATGTGCATGTCTGGTCACTATACTGCGGAGATCGCTGTGCGCATGTGCATGTCTGGTCACTATACTGCGGAGATCGCTGTGCGCATGTGCATGTCTGGTCACTATTCTGCGGAGATTGCTGTGCGCATGTGCATGTCTGGTCACTATTCTGCGGAGATCGCTGTGTGCATGTGCATGTCTGGTCACTATTCTGCGGAGATCGCTGTGCGCATGTGCATGTCTGGTCACTATTCTGCGGAGATCGCTGTGCGCATGTGCATGTCTGGTCACTATTCTGCGGAGAGTGCTGTGCGCATGTGCATGTCTGGTCACTATTCTGCGGAGATCGCTGTGCGCATGTGCATGTCTGGTCACTATTCTGCGGAGATCGCTGTGCGCATGTGCATGTCTGGTCACTATTCTGCGGAGATCGCTGTGCGCATGTGCATGTCTGGTCACTATTCTGCGGAGATCGCTGTGCGCATGTGCAAGTCTGGTCACTATTCTGCGGAGATCGCTGTGCGCATGTGCATGTCTGGTCACTATTCTGCGGAGATCGCTGTGCGCATGTGCATGTCTGGTCACTATTCTGCGGAGATCGCTGTGCGCATGTGCATGTCTGGTCACTATTCTGCGGAGATTGCTGTGCGCATGTGCATGTCTGGTCACTATTCTGCGGAGATTGCTGTGCGCATGCACATTTCTATTAGCCAGCCATCTCACAGGAATTCCCTTACAGCTTACCTGAGCATAGCTGTGCACAGCCATTCACTTGGATTGGCGTCTGTACAAAGCATGTGCGGTTCCCCGAGTGCTAGAAAGCAGCAGGGATTTGACACTTCAGCCCACAAGAGCTGCTAAGTATCTGTGTGCATCGGGCCTAAAGCAAAAGGCTTGACAGATATAAAATACTCGCATTCTACCCACTGATGTACCTATTCAGCAAACCTATTTTCCTTTCATATTTATTAATGTGGATAGGTTCATACAGTTGAAATTCCTTCTTAGGGCCAATATCTACCCCCATTCATACTCCCTATGCAGGAGATGTGAATCCTCTACTACAAACAAGAGATCCCTGTGCTCAAATCCCAACAGCTAGTGCATGCATTTATCCATCAGGTGCTAAAGGGGTGTAACCACATATTAACACCAGAAATTCTGAAGGACCCTCTGCACACTGCTATATACCCTTCCCAGCAGACTATGCAATAAATGTGGGGGATATTTAGTTCACACATATTGCAATACATGCTTATGCTGGCCAACTGCATCAAAGTAATCCCTCCCTGGCCGGTCCTACTCTGCTCTGCCTCTCTGGCCGGTCCCTACTCTGCTCTGCCTCTCTGGCCGGTCCCTACTCTGCTCTGCCTCTCTGGCCGGTCCCTACTCTGCTCTGCCTAGGCACATGCTACTGTGGACACAATGCTAACATAGGGGAAAAGACACAATGGGGAGAGCTACAAGGTTCAGGTCTGGCTACTGACCCAACATCCTTCAGAATTTCTAGTGAATCCTCTACTGACACCTTCATGCATATGGCGTGACACTGACACCTTCATGCATATGGCGTGCTCCATGATCTGTCCATTTCTGGAATCAGTGGTTGGTGGTGTTGATGACATGTATGATTTGGCCTCCAGACTCGATCCCCTATCCCTTTGATTGGGTATAATGGAGAATGGGGTGGAGTGTAGGCATGCCAAGCTTTTTCTTGTCTGTGTAACTTTCTATGTGAGATGGGAAATCTTGTTGCTCTGGAAACTGCCCAGTCCTCAGTGTGCCTCATATAGGTTGACCTATGAGGGTAGAAACTGCCCTAAACATTTTCCAAGATCTAGTTGGTTTGGATCGATGCTCATGGACAAGATGCCCCTGAAGGAGTCTGATTGGATCCTTACCTCACCCCTCTGCCCCCCCTTTCCCTCTGACCTGTTATATTACCATGATCTGGCTAGACAACCTACCTGAGGTCTTCCTGATGCTCAGAATGGTTGCCTTATTGTCAGTTTTGGCCCCCGGGTGGCCCATTTGTGTTACCTTCTTATTTCCCCTCCTGGGTACACATAGTGACTGCTGCTGTTTACCGTATATGTGTCTTACTGCACAATTCATGCCTCAACGTGGCTGCAAAGGCTCAAGGTTTCCTACTTTCATGCATTCCACCTATAAAGGTAAAAAAAAACCTTCTGTGTGCAGAATCCCAAACCAGCCCCCCCCCCCCCCCCCCACCTAAGCCCCCACTCGATCCAGTGATGTGCACTGAAGACTCCCTCTTCTCACAGCCAGTGAGCCAATGAGAATAACTCCCTTGAAACAAATATGTCTAACAAAGATAAGACAATCCTGCAACAAATAATATCTCAAACCCAATGTGCAACACAATAAATCAAACAAAATAAGTAATAAACACCTGCCAGGGGTGTATATCCACATGAAATACAGATATAATGAAAAATAGGTGATCTAAACCTAAAAAAATTGTCAAATGAAGTCCAATGTGCAGTCCAATAAATCTAGAAGTAAACACCTGCCAGGGGTGTAAATGCAAATAAATCCAAATGTGATGAGGAACCAATGAACTTTCACCTAACAATGCTAAAAATCAGATTGAGTGCAAAATCAGCAAAAATGACAAAACACGCTCTCCAGGGGTGCCAACACCAAACATATTGTGTATAACACAGTGTGAAATAAATAAATAAAGAGATAAAGTACAAAAAATCATTTAAGTCAGTAAATTTTCTAAGTGTCCAATGAGCAGTGCAATGAATATATAAGTAAACACCTGCCAGGGGTGTAAAGGCAAATACATGCAAATATGCTGAGGAAACAATGATCTTAACGTAACAATACTAAAAATCAGATTGAGTGCAAATTCAACAAAAATGACAATAAACACCCTTCAGGGGTGCCTACACTAAACATAGTGTGTATAACACAGTATGAAATAAAGTGCAAACAATAATTTAAGTAAACAACAATAAATCGATATCAGCTGAAGACCCGGATTCTTCTTATCACACCCCTGTGCTCTATTAGGCATTTATCACGATATTGATCTTCCGGGGGGGATCTTCCAGGGGGGTCTTTGCTGGAGGTGAACCTGCATGTTGGCTGGTAGAGAAAATCAGACAAAAAAACATCGCTCTCGAAGCAATCGTACCATAATCTGATGGTTAGTGCGCAGCTTGCATCGGAAATGTTTTGAAGGGACAAAGGAAAATGTTTTTTGAACATTAGCAGAGCATACAGTTTGTTTAATCAGCACAGAATTCATCTGAAAAAAATTGGAAGAGCAAAACCGCGCATGCTCAGAGATGAGGGAATACATTCCAGTACAACACAGCGCATGAAAGGACTTCCGAAGTTGTATTCTGTCATACAAGAATTCCTGCATCTTCAGTAACCTCTTCATGTTCAGTATGAGACTAGCTGCGCATAATCCAGTATATGTGTTTATATTTGTGATTTGTATTTTCCGCCTTACCGCACCACCATTGGCGCCTACAGCTGTCAATCACCAGGTCCCGGCCAGAGATTCCTCGCCGGCACCCAGCGATCGCCGAGGAACACTGACAGAGGAGAGGGCTGTATGTAAACAATACGGATCTCTCCCAGGGGCGGACTGACCATTTGGAAACTCAGGCACTGCCCGAGGGCCCAGGGTCAGTAGGGGGCCCCATGAGATGCCCCTGGTACCTTTTTCATAGGCTTTTTTGAGTTTGGGCAAGGACACAGGGGCCCCATGATCCCCTATTGCCCGGGGGCCCCATGAGTTGTCAGTCCGCCCCTGATCTCTCCCCTGTTAGCACCAGCAATTCTGCTTTGTATTTCTTTGCATAGCAGAGCAATACAAAGCAGCATGCTTACATAGTAAAGCACACACAGACAACATAGTAAAACAGCACACAGTTAACCCTTTGATCGCCCCAGATGTTAACCCGTTCCTGCCCAGTGCCATTAGTACAGTGTCAGTGCTTTTTATTAGCACTGATCACTATATTAGTGTCAGTGGGGATGTCAGTGGTAGTTAGTCAATCCCCCCCGTGTCAGAATGCCCGCCGCAGTCCCGCTAAAAGTCGCTGATCACCTCCATTACTAGTATAAAGATGTATTTATTTTTTCAATTCCAGTATATATACCACCATTTGTAGACGCTATAACTTTCATGTAAATCAATTCATTTACACGTATTGGGATCTTTCTTTAGCAAAGACATGTCGCAGAATACATTTTGGCCGAAATTTATGATGAAATTTGATTTTTACATTTTTTACTGGACATGTTTTATAGCAAAAAGTATTGTTTTTCTTTTTTTTTTCAAAATTGTTGGTCTTTTCTTGCTTATAGTGCAAAAAATAAAAACCGACAGGCGATCAAATACCACCAAAAGAAAGCTCCATTTGTGGGAAAAAAGGGCATACATTTAATTTGCAGCATTGCATGACGGCGCAATTGTCAGTTAAAGTAACGCAGTGCCGTAACGCAAAGAATGGCCTGGTCAGGAAGAAGGGGGGGGGGGGGGGGGGGGGTAAATCCTCTGGAAGGCAAGTGGTTATTATTGTTTTTAACTGTTACAGGTATCAGTGATATTATTATTATTATACAGTATTTATAAAGCGCCAATAGTTGGCTCAGCGCTGTACATTACAGAGGGGGACAGAACATGTGACAGAACAATACCAATACAATGTGATACATCTAGGGTACATGGAGTGATAGGGGGGTACATGGAGTGATGGGGGGTACATGGAGTGATGGGGGGGTACATGGAGTGATGGGGGGTACATGGAGTGATGGGGGGTACATGGAGTGATGGGGGGTACATGGAGTGATAGGGGGTACTTATAAATGGATTGATGGGGGTATTTACACTTGGAGGGGATCGAGGGCCCTGATCCTGGGAGCTTCACAATCTAGAAATAATAAACTACGAGGGGATGTTTGTTTTACGTTTCATCTTCTCTCTGCTCATCATTGAACACTCAGACTTCAAGGATCAACTTATGAACATTATTCTTCAGTAAATGATCCGGCAGAGGCCCTCTTTAATGTCTGTTATACCCCGTTATACATCACGCATTGAGAGATGTCGGCTCACTTCGTTTTCTATGTCCGGTTGTAATGCAGCAACATTTCCATCCTCAGGCCTCCAGCAGCAGGAACATCCTTGGTGGTATTGTAGGACCCAACACTGCAACATAAACAACACAATTATTCACATTTTTACAACCTTCAGGAAAACACTTTTCCTTTTCTTTAGTGCTCTTTTCCTGATGAGATTCTATATAGTCGGAATATCCTCCTGTTGCAGGAAGTATGTCTGATAGGAAGCAGCCAAGTGTATTCATTGTACCCTGAAGTGTGGGAAGGCAGTTGGTGTAAATCATTGAACATATAAAAGTGTCATGTAGGAGAGCAGCACATCATTCATTCAGCAGCAAATAGAGATCAAGCAATAACATACCATTAATAGCCTAACAAACCACGCAGAAAAAGTGAGAAGGGTTATTGATTGTCAAATGTGATACAGATATGAAATGTGGGTCCCCTAGTCCTGGATCCAAATACATGACAATGCGAACCATAAGCATCATGTACAGTCTAAGGCTCCATGCACACTAGGAAAACAAATGCTGGAAAAAGGCTGGATAAAAAATGCTGGTTATTATTATTATTATTATACAGTATTTATAAAGCGCCAATAGTTTGCTCAGCGCTGTACATTACAAAGGGGGACAGAACATGTGACAGAACAATACCAATACAATGCAAAACATGAGGGGATCGAGGGCCCTGATCCTTGGAGCTTACAATCTAGGAGATTATAAAACATTTTAAAACAATGTGTAAATATTGAAGGGACTACAAAACACCTTCCCCTAATGCAACACACTAAAGTTTTGTGCTGAAAAATGCCCTTAGAAAAGGTCAATATATGACAATCCATTAAATGTGTCAGTTCATTTTTATAAAGTTCTTGGTACTACAAAACATCTTCCACATCTTAAATACAATGGTGACTTGGTGCTATAGCTGGTGATCGTGCTCTCACTCATGCTCCCCCTCCAGATCCTCACTCACCCCAATGTTTTCACCCCCTATGCATACGTGGGTCTAAAGCGCTTTTGGGTGTTTTCCTTCCTCAAGCCCCTTTGATGGATTAGCCTCCTGTGAGCCGCCAAGATAATCCACTCTATTAGGATCCTCCCAACGGAAGACCTTCCAATATCCCAGATGACCGCTTGTCCTCCTCCACCACAGAGATATGCCGTAGGAATAATCAAAGAGAAGCTACCAGAGTTATACTGTTTTATTTGAGTAAAATCACATAAAAGTGCATTTCCATCATTTCCATGTATGTGGCACTTTAAAACAATGTATCCTGGAATGCCGTTGCACTCCACATTCACCCTCGTATGAACCGGAAGTAACACAATTAGCCCCAACTAATGCGTTTCATCATAGTGACAGCATCAGGGGTGGACTCCTGACGAAACGCATTAGGAGGAGCTAATTGTGTCATTTCCAGTTCATACAAAGGTGAATGTGGAGCGCAATGGCATTCCAGGATACATTGTTTTAAAGTGCAACATACATGGAAATGATGTAAGTGCAATTTTATGTGATTTTACTCAAATAAACAGCAATGTTTAACCACTTGCCGCCCAGCCACTGTACATATACGGCGGCAGGGCGGCACTCGCAGGCAAAACCACGTTTTAAGACATGTGTTTTGTAAACAAATAGGGGGTGCGCGCGAGGCGCGTCGCCGCCCTATTTGTGCCGCGGATCACTGCCGCAGATGTCAGTTGCCGGGTCACAGCTACTCCTTAGCGGCTATGTCCAGGTGATCGGCGGCAAACAGTGACAGAGAGCACAGCTGCAGTAGCTGTGCTGTCTGTCACTTCCCTGTCAGCTCGAGGATGAGCTGATCAAGAAAGAACAGTTTCTCTTTCTCGATCAGCCTTGTCCCGCCCAGTACACCCCCCCGCCCCGCCCCCTAGTAAAACACTCCCCTCACTCCTATAACCCTTCCCTGCTAAATAAACTTAACCCCTTCCTCCCCAGTGCCATTAGTACAGTGTCAGTTTTTTTTTTTTTGCACTGATCACTGTATTAGTGTTTTTGGGGATGTCAGTGACCCCAAGTCAGTACCCCCCAATGTCAGAATGTCCGCCGCAGTCCCGCCATAAGTCGCTGGCATAAGTCACTGATCGCCGTCATAATTCGCTGATCGCCTCCATTATTAGTATGAAAAAACCCCTAAAAATCCCAGTATCTTTCCCGCCATTTGTAAACGCTATAAATTTCACGTAAACCAATTAATTTACACGTATTGGGTTTTTTTTTTAGCAAAGACATGTCGCAGAATGCATTTTGGCAGGCAGAAATTTATGACTAAATTTGATTTTTGCATTTTTTTTTTTTTTACTGGACATGTTTTATAGCAAAAAGTCCAAAATGTTGTTTTTTTTCCTCAAAATTGTCAGACTTTTTTTTTTTATAGCACAAAAAATAAAAACCGCATAGGTGAAATACCACCGAAAGAAAGCTCAATTTGTGGGGAAAAAAAGGATGTAAATTTCATTTATGTACCGTATTGCATGACCGCGCAATTGTCCGTTTAAAACTAGCGCAGTGCTGTATAGCAGAAAAATGGCGTAAATTGCAGTATCTATCCCATAGTTTGTAGGCGCTATAACTTCCACACAAAGCAATCAATATACACTTATTGGGATTTTTTTTTTTACCAAAAACATGGAGCAGAATACATTTTGGCCTAAATTTATAACTAACTTTGAGTTTACTATATATTTTTTATAGCTGAAAGTAAAAAATATTGTTTTTCTTCAAAATTTTTGGCCTTTTTTTGTTTACAGCGTGAAAAATAAAAAGCGCACAGGTGATCAAATACCACCAAAAGAAAGCTCTATTTGTGTGAAAAAAAGGACGTAAATTTCGTTTGGGTGCAGCATTGCATGACCGCGCAATTATCAGTGGAATTAGTGCAGCGCCGAGTAGCAAAAAGAGGCGTGGTCATTAAGGGGGGTAAATCCTCTGGAGCTCAAGTGGTTAAACCTTGACTTGGCAAAGATGCTGCATTGCTCCTGAATTCAGCTCAGCATTGCCCTCATGTAGGTGATGCCTGTTTGCACTACAAGGAATGAGAAGATGACGGTCGGCACTGTCACTGCTGATTCACAAGCCTGTAGCTTGTCTACCTGACCACACCTAGTCCTGCCCATTGCTTTGTATATTTACACTGTAAAATCAAGGAATCATATTAGACGTTTTGCTGTTTCATTTTACTTTGTGTGTTTGATTTTATGCACAGCTGAAACATTGTTTTCCATTTATTATGAAGGGGCTTTTCTGAGAATGTGACAGCCTTGGATACGTCAATTACTGTACAAAATGAAAATAGACATGAATGGACAATGAAAACTTGGAGCTAAGCTGGTGTTTTTAAAAAGTTTATTTTTAACCATCAGTTCCCTAAAATAGATTTGTAATGAGAAGCTTAAGTGCAGATATGCAGCAGGCAAGGCGGAGTACAGTAGTGATTATCGGCGGTGATTGATGACTGCGCTCTGATACTGCTTAATCTGTAATGTCAAACCATCAATCATATCAAATTAAAGAGCAACTTCTACTAATCCGAGTGAGCTCTGCCCTTCAGAGGCACAAAACCCATTTCATGAAAGTAGAGATCGTGTTAATTCCACAAATACTGAGCACATTTACAATGACTACAGAGCATGTCCTAATGGCTAATAAATGAACTGGAGGGGAAATACCAATATATATATATATATATATATATATATATATATAATATACTGTATATATAAATACCAAATATGCAAATATGCAATTTGATGTAATTGTTCAGAAAGTGAAAAGAGTTGTTGGTATATTATAAACAGCTACACAATATTAATGTGGGCTTAACAATTGAACCGCTTCCCGATATAGGTGTCCGTTTATGACACAGAATAGCTGCGATTCAACAGATCTCAGCTATTCTCTGGTCATTCACAGTTTGTGACACTCAGGAGATCATGTCAGCCCTTCTCTGGAGATCTGTGTTCTCCCTCCAGATTCTCCAGCCCAGAGCTGGAGAATCGGAGGGACCGCAAACTAAGCAGAGATAATTTACCTCTGCTTAGTAAACTGATCTTTTACTGTAATCTCGCGAGATTATAGTAAAATCAGCCGTTTTCCAGCGTTTGTAGACCGTTCTCCCTTCGTTTGGAGAACTGCTTCATAAACTGCATTCACAGGAGAACTGTGTTCTCCGAGAATGCCGGAGAACTGAGCAGTGATCTATTACTGCTGGTTCATAAATGGACACCATACTGCTACAGGGCGGCACGGGTGCGCAAAATCACATATATATATATACGAATACGTGATTTTGCATTTCCGGGTGGGGGGGGCGCGTGCCCTAGTCACACCGACATTCACAGCTGCGGCTGTCATTCACTGGGTCCTGGCCGGTGATTACTCGCCGGTGCCCAGTGATTGCTGAGCATCTCCAACAGGGAGGAGAACTGTTTGTAAACAAAACAGTCCTCCTCCCTGCCAGCACATGCACACTGCTTTGGATGGCTATGCACAGCACAGCCATGCAAAGCAGTGTGATTACAGTGAAGCACATGGACACAGCTTACAGTGAAACAGCACATAGTTACCCCTTTGATCGCCCCTCATGTTTACCCCTTCCTGCCCAGAGCCATTAGTACAGTGTCAGTGCTTTTTTTTTTAGCACTAATCACTGTATTGGTGTCACTGGGGATGTCAGTGACACCAAGTCAGTTCCCTCCCAGTGTCAGAATGTCCCCCGCAGTCCCGCTATAAGTCGCTGATCACCGCCATTACTAGTGAAAATCAAAATTAAAATGAAAAATTCCAGTATCTATACCGCCATTTGTAAACGCTATAACGATCACATAAACCAATTAATTTACACGTATTGGGATTTGTTTTTTAGCAAAGACATGTCACAGAATACATTTTGGCCTAAATTTATGATGAAATTGGATTTTTAACATTTTTTTACTGGATATGTTTAATAGCAAAAAGTCAAAATATTGCTTTTTTTTTCTCAAAATTGTCTTCTTTTTTATACTGCAAAAAATTAAACCGCACAGGCGATCAAATACCACTGAAAGAAAACTCTGTTCGTGGGGAAAAAAAGGACATACATTAAATTTGGGTGCAGCGTTGCACGACCGCGCAATTGTCAGTTAAAGTAACGCAGCGCAGTAACGCACAAAATGGCCTGGTCAGGAAGGGGGGAAATCCTGTGGAGGGCAAGTGGTTAAAAATAAAAACAAAAATGCTACATGATGATTAGGCCTAGTTTAGAATGAAGGACTTCATTAACATATTTTTGAAGTATTTACAGGACCATATTTCTATCACATTATTATCATTATAATTGTTATTATTATTATACAGGATTTATATAACGCTTTACAATAATAATACGTTTGCTCAGCGCTTTACAATATAAATATTAGGCACACAACCTTTTTTAGTGATCCTAACCTGGCTGAGAACATCATGAACCCCTGATGTTCAGATCAGGGGCGGACTGACAACTCATGGGGCCCCCGGGCAATAGGGGATCATGGGGTCCCTGTGTCCTCGCGCATACACTCAAACCCACACCCAAAAAATCCTACGAAAGGTACCAGGGGCCCTGCCTATGAAAAGGTACCAGGGGGGCATCTCATGGGGCCCCCTACTGACCCCGGGCCCTCGGGCAGTGCACCGAGTTTCCAAATGGTCAGTCCGCCCCTGCACTCAGGTATTTACAAATATTGATGAACAAGCAGTAAAATCACGTCCTCATTTGTCTCTGTAGATCTATAAGCATCATAGAGAAAAACAATTCAAAGTTAACAAATACAGGGCGCTGACATCTCAGGCTGTTTTGTTACCAGAGCAAGTAATTGCCAAGCTGCCTTCTGAATGTAACAAACAGCAGATATCTGTAAAGTGGGACTACGTTGTGTCTGTCTGAGAACCACAAACAAAAAATGTCATTTTTTTCACTTTTAATATTCAAATTCAAACTCACATATCTATCCACGTCTCTGGGCTTAATTTGCTCTTGAAAAATCACTTTGAGAAACATTTCCTAGCATTTCTGGCCATGTCTGTCTTCAATAAGGGCAGAAGATTCCATGTAGCATTTACTTCCTGAAATACATCTGCCCTTAGCTCAGGCATGCTGGCAGGAGGGTGTGCGTAGCTGAGAAAGCCTCCTCTCCTCCTTCCTGAAAACTTCTGGGATGTATGGCACCTGCTTAGGTCTGAAACAGAAGTAACTGAAAACCATGTATATAAAAAAAAAGGTAAAAGCAAGTAAAAATGATATAATTTCCTATCTATTTACCATGATAGCAGCATAAGGATTATTAACAGTCAATATTGATTGAGGAGTCATTGCTTTAAGCTGTCAGAAACCAAGTGAGAGAGTCATTGCTGTGGTGTTTGATCACCTTCCTGAATTAATATTTGTACATCAAAGGCAGCCAGGGGAGAATATGAAGAGCTTGATTTACAGCTATTTCATTGCTTCTTAACCCCTTCCTGAACTGAATACACTTTCCCCCCCTTCTAGTTCGGAACACCTTCACCCCCTTCCAAGTCTGGGACACTTTCCCTCCCCTTCTAGTCGGGCGGACAACCTTCACCCCCTTCCTGTCCGGGACACTTCCACCCCGTTTCCAGTGTCTCGGGACACGTCCCCCCCCTTCCAGTCCGATGACACTTCCAACAACCTTCCTCCCCCCCTTCCCATCCGGACTACCTTTCACCCCCTTCCCCTTCCAGTCCGGGACACTTTCCCCCCCCTTCCTGTCCGGACCAATTTCCCTCCATCCCCAAAGAGTACCGGACACCTGTCAACCCCCCTTCCAGTCCAGACACTTTCCCCCTCCTTACAGTCCGGACACCTTCACCCCCTTTCCTGTCCGGGACACTTTCCCCCCCCTTCCAGTCCGGACACTTTCCCCCCCTTCCACGTCCGTACTCTTTCTCCCCCCCACCTCAGTCCGGGTCACTTTCCACCCTCCTTCCAGCCATGGTCACCCTTCACCCCTTCCATCCGACACTTTCCCTCCCCCCCTCCCCCCAGTCCGGACACTTTTCCCCAGGGGGTCTTCCAGTCACATTTCGGGACACTTTCCCCCCCTTCCAGTCCCCGGACACATTCACCCCCTCTTCCAGTACGGACACCTTTTCACACCCCCTTCCAGTCCGGACCACTTTCCCCCCCCCCCCCCCAGTCTTACCAGGACGACACTTTTCCTCCTT